GGTTATTAATAAATTTAAGAGATCCTTATTAGCCAAGTCAGTTTGATTTTAGAAAGTGTTGGGTCCCAGTAAACGTGTCTTGCTGGGATGGGCTGGAGAGATTGTTAGTTATTGTTGGTTTCTAACTGCAGTATCAGAAAGTCCCTTTCTGTACACCGGTAGTGTTCTTGTTGAATATGTCTGCCTCTGAATATCTTTCCCCTTTCCAAAGCTACAGTATGAAAACTGAATGTGTGTGATTCACCTATGAGGACATGTTTGTGTCTCTGCAGCAGAGGTGGCTGAGCTGCAGCAAACACCACAGCACTGCTGTTGAGTGGAGTTTTGGTAATGCCACGTGCAGATGTGTGATAACTAGAAAGTAATGCACCGGCTCACCTAGAAAATCTCATCTGAAAAGAGAATTTGAGTTTACTAAGAATAAATGCCACTTGGTTGAAAATTCAGCCCCTATATCACTAGCTTAAAGCCAGCAAAGTTTTACTCTTCAATCATGTAAAATGATCACTCCCATGTTCTCAGTTTTCTGGTTACATCTCATGCTAAGCACATTCTTTACTCCAAACTTCAGCTGACCGAGCATGTCTCCTGACTAAGATCAATTATAGAAGATGCATAATTAATTATGCAAGTCCATTAGAACATGAAGTTCTCTGTCTCATAGGCTGAGATTCATAACAATTAGAAGGTCAGCCTCTTAACAGTGTTTCCAATACAGTTTACCCCCTGTTACTTTAGTTATATTACAGTAACCATGGCAGTAGTGTTCCATCCATGGTTCCCCAGAGGTGCATATGAATGTATGTATGAGAAGGCAGAAAGGGGAACAGGAGTTTGAATTTTGAATTCAGGCTAGATATGTAATTGCGGTGGTTAGGAATGTAAAGGGCATGGTAAGATCACCTGTGTGAAACCGAGAAAGTACAAATGAAGTTGATCCATGTGGCTGACATATGCCACTGACCGGTGTGAATGGGACTTTACATGGTTCTTAGGCATTTGCCTTTTTGTTAGGTCAGCAGGAATTGTGCATGAGCAGGCCTGGACTAGTGTAGGCTTTTTAAACAGAAAATAGTAGTTGCTGCATAAAATTCACAGAAAATAGATTTCTTCACTTTGACTGTATTGAGGAACATGGGGTTGTTTTTATCTCCAGCTCTGTAGCTAATTTTGCTGTCCTTTAGGCACTGGTGGAGTTCTCTGGGGATCCTTTTCTGGGCACCCATTCGGGTCTCTCTCTCCTGTTCTGTCTCCCCCTGAAATCTGCTCTGCTCTCTTCCCTGGTAACCACCCATGTGTCTGCTCCTGTTTCTGGTTCCCATTTGCCTGGGCTGATGTTTGTTGAAATGAAATGGGGTAGGGAAGCAGAGCATTGAGGCTGCAGAATGAGGAACCCTGTGCAAGGAGCAGGACAGGGAAGAGCCCAGTCAGGCAAATGGATATTTGCCTCTCAGCCTGCCTGTGCCCCTGGGCTGGTGCTGTGATCTGGTCCCAGCGCTCAGCTTAGGACTTGTGTCCTCTGTCCCCCAGTGAGGACTTGTAGGGAAATCCAGGGAATTTTAGCACTTGCCTGGAGGTTGGAAAGATCCAAGCTGGCAGCACAGGGAACAACTGGGGCACAGGGAGTAAGGCTTTGGTATGGAGGTTGGCTGCTGAGTCCTGAACCATCCTGTTTCCATCTGTCTGTGCTGCCCCTTTTTCTTCCTGAGTCCGCTGCCTTAACCATGAGGTAATACAGGTACAGCAGGGCCTGGGTGGAGCAGCTCAGGAGAACTGAGCAACAAACATTGTCTGTACACCCTATTTCTTTGGTTTGGGGAGCACTCCTACAGTTTACAGCCCTGGCCACTTTCTTAGGGTGGAAAGCAGCAGGAAACTTATCAATGTAAGACAATGCCTTTTTCTTGAAGGTGCAAGCTCCACTTCTCACATACTTTTAGCTGTAGCGCTCCCTTCTGCACTCTCCTCACTGCCTGTGAGCCCTGTGAGCTAAAATGGGGCTCAGGCTATTGTGGGGATGTGGGAGAAAGTCTTGCAAAACAGGCAGGTGAAGAAGCAAGGTTTTCAGCAAGCTGTGGCTTGATCTAGCAATATGAAAAAGTTTGTGGTTTGCCAGAAGCAGTCCCCTGACTGATAGACATTTGGAGCCCAAGAACTGGCAAATGAATACACCTCACGTTATTCTAATTTTTTTAATGTCTTTATAAGGAAGTACATTTTAGGGGGGAGAGTAACTGGATGAAGTGAAACTAGAATGGTTGATGTGTTTTACTGTCTAAGAGGCCACTCATCCCATCTAATCTTATAAGAAACTTATGTGCTGTGTGGGTTGCTCGGGAGGGACTAACCAGTCCCTTACTTGCAAGAAGAGATTGCAATGAAGAGAATAATGAGCTTTGTTGGCATTAACAGACCTTCGGTTCCACAGACTTCGCTATTTTCCTTCCATGTGGGTTTGTGGGCGTAACCGAGAGCTGTACGCACAGCTTTGTTTCTCTTCTTTGGGCTTCCTGTGTGACTGTATCTGTACAGCATATCTGGTGCAAAATTAGCAAAGGAAAGACAAGAATTAGAAAATTATCTAATATAAATCGGAGGCCCTCAGCCCATGTCTCAGATAGGCTGCACACAGGTGCTGTACATCTCCCACAGGATGGGTCCCGAGGCTATTTGTTTCCTTTAGTGCACTGTCGGGATTGTGTGGCTTCACTGCATGGTTGAACCCTATAGTGGCTCCTTCCAGTCACATGCTGAGCACACAGGGTGAATCATGAGACTGCTCTTGCTCCCACTGGTGTCCTGGCCCTCCAGGATGATGCTACTCTGTAAAATCTAGACACCATCCATGGAGCCTTAATACAACTGTCACTGGGCATGATGTCTCAAAAGTGACATTATATTATTGAGAGGTGTACTAGAAGATTGAGATGAATATGTAGCACCTTAAGTGACATAGTACAGTCCTTCCATTCATTGGCCAGTTTTACAGCCATCGGATGGTGGAAATAACAACTTTTTTTCTTTTCTTTCAAAAGGCTGTGAAAACTGAGTGATGCTTCTACTTTATTTGAATGGATTATCTGCACTTTAAGAGGCAGATAGTTTCAGTCAGGACCTTTTGTTTCCCTGCTTCAAAAGGCAGTCTTGCAATTTGTTCGCTTTAAAAAAAAATGAATGTACAGCAGGCTGCCGTGCTTCAATTTTCTGCACTACAAGTTTGATGGTAAGGTGCTGAGGTACTTCCTGTTTATCTACAAAAATCTCATCTTCCAAATCAAACTTGGCTTTCTGGGAACCTCTAAGCCAAGGTTCAGCCTTGCTGTACAAGTGAAACAAGACAGGTTAAGATTTCACTACCCTTTGAATCTCCTGATGGTGCAATACTTCTTCTCTGTGTGTTCAGCCTCAGTCTAGGTCCTGGTTGGCAGTTGCCATTCTGGAGCTGTTCTGTACAGACCTTCTGGTGCTTTCAGCTCTCTGGGGTGACAAAGAGAAAGCTATATGTTCCCAGATGACTGCACCACAGAGCTAGCTGGAAACTCGAACAGGTAATGCCAACACTCCTCCTTGCTTTCCTGAGGGTCTTCGGACTCTTCCCTGTAAGTACTATCGTATAGGCAGAGTATTGCAAAGCATCTTTGAGAACAATATTGTTTCACACGTACTTGTTCCCTGGAAGGATGGCCTTTTTACTTTTTCCCTTCTGCCTGCAAGGCCTGTATCTAGGTCACAGAAAGCAATTAGAGAAGTTTCACGCCTTTTGTTCAAACCCATTTAGGCTCTCTATTTAATGGCTGTACCTTGTTTTTCAATTTAAGACCACTGAGGTAGAATCTATTTCAGAGCAATATTTTTTTTTCTTATTCTGAAAGCTACTTGTAGTCTGTAAAAATAACTGTACCTTTATCAGCTGAACAGTAAATGCAATTAAAGGACTAGTTCTGGGCCTGTTCATACATAACTTTCTCCAAGTTTCCCAGTCCTTCACCTAAAATAAGTAGTCTCTAGCAATGCAAGGATTGGCCCACTAAAACTAAAAAAGCAACCTGAGTTTTTCTAGAAGACAGTTTTGTACTATTTTTATTTTTTTAAATGAGGATTGTAAGTTATTTACTGGATTTAAAAACAAAACAAAACAAAATTCAACCCCCCACCCTCAAAACCCAACAAAAAGCAAAGTATCAATATATCTCAGGGTCTGAACTAAAAACTTAGTGCAGAAAAAATTACCATGATTTTTATCCACACCCATACTGTGACTGATTTCAAACATGGAGGAGGCGTATAGCACAAGTGTACCATAAACACGATAAAACACCTAGCTTACCAAAATAACAGGGTGAATGTGTATGTGCTTAGCAGCTTTGGTATTAACTGGAATGATACCAAGATGAAACAGGAAGATAGAAGAGCCTTACTTCCACTAACTCGTGCAAATTATCTGGTCTGTTATGTGCAGCCTGACACCTAGTACATCCTTTATTTTCAAGGGTGGTGCGAATTTTTAACTTAGTTAAAGACTTTCTGCTGGCTGCTGTAAACCTCTGGTGCAAATATCACTATGAGTGATTTTTAAGAGCATTATTTTTCAAGAGCAGATGCATGGTATCCAAGACAGAGCTGAATAAGCGGTGCAGAAGAAGGGTGTGAGCTTTCTTTTCAAACTTTAAATGGCACCTTGGGCCTTACCTCCTTTTTATCTTCTTTTCCACAAACCTGAAGTATAATCACTTTTTTGTACCAGTGTTGGGAGGAAAGCTTAGCATGCCACATTTATACACAGTTATTTATGACCTAATTTTTATTTTTTTTTTTATTTTGACTGGTGTCTGTCACTGCTGATCATTTGTTATTTCCATTGATTCATCATGGACAAAAGCAATATGCAATAACTTATCTCACCAAGAGAAAAACAGAGTGCACTATAATTCAATATTTTCTCACACATTATTTGTAAAAATTCTTTGTAAAAAGGAAACAACCCTCTTCTCCTTCCCTGTGGTCCACAAAAAACCAAACATACACACACACACACACACACACACAAGTGTTCACTTTATTTTGGTTAATAATAGCTTTAGACATTCATGGTGCTCAAAGATCTTTGCAAAGAGATAGAGTAAACTGGAGTTGAAAACTGAATCCTTGGAAGGATGTTCTTTGAAACACAGAGACAAATTCTCCCAGAAACAGTCTTAGCTTTTACTAGGGAGAAATTAACGTGACTCAATATTATCTTCCTCACAGGCTCATTTTACATGTTTCTATCCTAGGAAAACCTTCCCCTTCTCCCCTTTGTCTATATTCAAATTATAACCAAATCAAATTTAGACTAGAAGCAGAATCCTGAAAAAAAAGGAAAAATAAGAAAGATGACTGCTTTTATTCCCCTTTTTAAGAGACAAACACACAGTGCAAATGCCAAACCATTGACATGGGCTGCGTTTTGAACTCTAGCATTCCAGGAGCATCCATAGGTTCTTCTTAACAAAAGGGAAGTTTTCCCAAAAGAGAAAGGAACAACATCCTGGAGGGAATCTAGAACTGTGACTGCATGCAAGATGGTTGTTTGGAGAAGTCCTTGACACATTTATTTATTTACATTAATGGAGGCATATTCTGTAAATTCATTTTCTACAGTTAGTTCCCTTCTCTGGCATCTTTCTGCAATAGCAGAATGATTTAGTGCAGCGTATGTGAGGATATCTGAGCTTTCAAGTAAAACGGGGATGGAAGTAATAACAAGATCATTCCGAGGAGCATTAGCTGCTGTCCTCTGAGCATCGCAGAGAGGGACATCATTGTCATAAATTGCGTTGCCATGCAAGTCCTGCAGTGGGCTAGTCATGGAGCAATAATAAAGGGAGGAGCTTTCTTCTGAAGCTTGAGTTGTCCCAGCAGCATGTGATGGAGCAGCTGCTGGACTTCTGACCTGCAGAAAACAGAACAGGGTACAGATCTGTGCATATTGAATTGTTGTCTGTGCTCCTGATAAATAAGAAGTGTGTAAGATTTTGTTCAAGTTGCTTTATTCCCTTAAAACCACTTTTGAAAAGATTAATTGGATTCACCTGGTCAATGGATTTTATATTTATCTTTGAAATAAAGTTAGAAATCATTCTTGTATCTCCTGCCTTTCCCCATTTCCCTTCCCAAACTCTCATGTCTTTTATTGCAAGTTACCAACTTAAGGCAAAACTGATTTATCATTTTGTGAGAGCTCTTCTTCGCCACTCATTCAAGGTTTTCCCTTCTCAGTTTATGAAATCTCTTATTTTCACCTCCAAACCATAAACTACCTTTTCCTCATTGCCCCTGTTCTCCCATTTCCTGATCTCTTATCTTCTTTGTCTTATGATTTTCCAAATAAACTTTTCTCCTTCTCCAAAATCTGCAAATTCTTCTATAAATGAATCTCTTTTTAATGAAGCCCCCTTTTGACATCCATTTTTCTAGCCACTTAGGATATACTGCTTTTAATTTCCTTTCCTCCAGCTTGCCCTTTGGGAGCTCTGCAACCTATTCGGTGCTCTGTGATCTCCATCAACACTACCCCTGTGATTGATAGTTGTCAGCTCCAGTTGTATCTTTTGCATTCTGCCTTCTGCCCATCTAAATTCTCTGGAACTTATTGCAGGACCCGTGTGAATTCATGCTACCCACATATGAATGTCTTCCTTTTCAATCATTTTTCTCACTCTGTGGGTCATTTTTTGTCTTATGCAGACTGAACCATATCAATAGAGGTGCTTTAGGTGCCTAAACTCTTACTGGAATGGTACTTAACAAATGAATACATTTTAACAGGAATTTAGATGCCTAAAGTTCCTTTGTGGCTAAGCCCCTTAGCTCCTTACTTCAGCTCAGCCATGGTGATATCTCACACCAGGCAAGCCGTGCTGCCCAGGCACCAAGACAGAGGGTCACTAAATCTGTCTCTGATCCTATGCCACATTTTGTACTACACAAAGATTTGTTCTCAGTACGTGGTTATGCAAGATGTAGTCAGGTTTTAATGATTGAGAAATTTAAACGTACCAGACTATTTTGTCTCTGTTGAGTTAATGGAGTTGTCTTTTGCTTTGCTAGGAAAAAAGAAAAAAAAAAAGTTATTTCAATAAATCAGCATTGAGGAGGTGCCTTTCTGCTTATGGAGGGAGTATTAATTACTATAGGAGTCCTTGCCTTGTTGAGTGGACCTCAAAGAATAAAAATGTATTCCCAAAGTGGAATTGGGAACAGCTATTCTGACAAAAGCTAACCAACATAGACTGATACATTTATAGAATGAGCTTCTGTGTTCCACAGAGCTCCTCTGAGTAGGAGCAGTAAAAACTCCAATTGTTCTTGTGGCCAGTTTTCTCTGTGTTCAGTGAACTGGGTGGAGAAAAAAAGGCACAGAAGATCCTAAAGTCATCCTATGAGCAAATATATTTTATTTTAAGATGAAATAATTTCATTTTCCTACAATAAAAAATGAAATCCATGGGATTATAATAGGCAAATGAGAGATCACTTAAGGCATGGGGGACTCCAAGTTCCATTCTTGATTTAGGACATGGCAGCTGTGTAAGAGTTCCTGTAAAGCAAGAGAGATTAATACTGAAATTATTTGATAATTTAGAGGGAGAATTAGGAATATAAAATGTAACTGGATAGAGCTGGACTGCATTTGCATAGCTAAAACGCCTCTTTGTTTCTAAAACAGGAGAAAATTTTCCAACTATTATGAAGTCTGAGGTTTTTATTTGTTCTTACTATACTTCCATCACTCTGTCTCTGGAAGGGAACAGTACATAGGGTAAATTAAATTCTTAAAGATTCAGTATCCTAACTGGCACACTCAACAAGGACATCTCAGCAATCAACTGGGGTAGTTATGAGGGGATTTTCATAGAGCTTTGAATGCAATTTCTGTGAAGCTGTGAAAAGAGATGGAATCAAATGCACACTAGGCAAAGGTTAGATGGCAGAACTACTTACCATGGTACTTCCTTAGACACCAAAATATGCATACAATGATGATTGGACAACAGACACTCACGGATGCTGAAGCATAAATAACATGCAATATCTTGTAGTTTCCAGGTTCTTCTGAGATGCTAGTAGTATCTAAAATTGCATTAGAATGTATTAGTGTAGAGAATATTTGACTGACCTTTTTTTTTTTTTTTTTTTTTTTACTTAAACATTCTGTAACTTGGTACAGCATCCCATGGAGACAAGATTATCTCATGACCATTCTATGAAGTATGAAAATACTGGAAGGAAATGTGCACAGAGAAGTGTAATTGATGAAATATGCATGGCAGAAGGCTTGCAGAAGCAAAGAAAGGGTCAGAATTAGAGCACTGCTCTGAACTTCCAATATATTTTTACAATTGTAATTGTAAACCACAACCGACTGTGAGTAAAAAACCATAAATCGGACTGTGTTAAAGTGATGGTATAGCATTTCAGAAGGGTGGAGTATACCACCAGGAGGTAATATGATTGGTTTTGTCCCTTTTATGCCAAATGCTGGACAGTCCTAGCCTTGAAAACTGTGACCTCTGAGAAACTGTATTTTGTTTAAGTGGGAAGAACGCAATTGTAGTTTAGCAATCACTTTAAATTTGTCTTGACTGCAGAAAGCACTATATCCAAAAATTCATAGTTCCTTTCTCTTAGAGAGGAAATAAGAATCAGAACTTACTTTCTGGTGAAATCGTGATGATGTTTTCAGACTTGTCTGAAAAACAAAAGCAAGACGGAAATGAAATAGCAACTTGACATTTTGCACTGCAGTTGTGTTCTCTGCACCACATATTGAAGTTTTCACAAGACTCCCCTTCAATCTGCTGATGGCAGGAGGGAGCAAAATGCAACAAGCAAAGGGTAGAGTGTTTTAGGGGGAGGGGGAATGACGTGTTCGTCTCCCACTGCCAACAGAGTAATTCTATCTTTCAGACCTCTTTGGCATCCAAATAAATAGATCAGCAGAATATATTTCAAAGGAAACTTGCATCATGAGCTGGGCATATACTGTGTCTGCTAGCACATTACAGTCATAAATTTTGATGTTGCTCACTCTGCTGTAACATTTTGTTTGGCAATAAACAAGGTTTTAAAGTTCATTAACTTACCAGAAGAGGAACTGGCAACTGAACAACCTTACAACTCAGCTGCCTGGGGTCAGTAGGACACTTACAGCCACACAGATAATTTTCTAGCTGCAAATCAACATTGAAGAAGGCAGATGTGGCTCCCCATAATCTAGACTGGCCATTCCAACTGTCTAAGTTAATGTGAAGGTCTCACTTGCCCTTAAGATCCTTTAAAGCTATTTAACCTTCCCTGCTCTTGAACTTCTTGGGGTACAAAATTATACTTTCTCTCTGTTTGTGGCAAGAGAGATCATTCTCAACAAGACGCCTGAACTGCTTTCTCCTCTTTACTGTTGTGTGGCCTCATTGGCTGCTACTACACCACCATTTGCATCCTGTCTAGTCCATGTGATGTATAACAGGGCTGTCCTCCCACAATCTTCTTTTGTTCCAATTTATATTTTTTAATTATAAAATACTTGTTTAATGGCTGCTTGGTGCTGGCAGCTTTGCTATTCTCTTCCTCATGTTATTTCTTTAGTTTGTTCTTTCCTTTTATTTCTATCCTACCAAGAGGCAGGATAGAAGCATGAAGAAGGTGGTAAGTACCAGCACAAGTGTGCTACCAGTCAAACATGTTGGGAGAAGCCATCATCCAGCATGCTTTTCTGTATACATCACCCTTTTGTTTAAAAGGGGTCTTTTATAACATAGGGGTCTCACCTTCAACAATAACCTTAATTCCATGGCTCTCACTGTAATATTGGTCCCCTATTGCTCGACAACGATAAAGTCCGCTATCATTCTGGTGAACTGAGACAACCTCCAGAGTAAATACATTGGACTTCCATTCTGCTTTGCCCTCCTTCAGCTGCACACATGTAGCCACCTCTATCTTGCACCACTCCATGACTGGCTTTTTCTTGCAGTAATAAACTGGACAGCGTATAATCAAAGAGTTCCCGACATTAATTCTGTGGTGGGAGTCTCTCCTAACCTGAATTTCAACTGGACAATCAGTGTCATCAAATCCTGAAAGAGAAGAAAAAACATGATAAAAATCATGGTGATGGGGGTCTACTGTATACTCCCCATAACATTAATCACAGTTTCTTTTCTCTCTCATTACTCAAGACTTCCCTTATCTACCTGCAGCAGATCTGAACTCTATACAGGACAGTGAAAGCAGATAACATCAAGACTATTGGTTCTTTCATTTTTAGGATTGTTAAAATGCACTTTTTCCCTCTCATATGATTTTTTCTTTTTTTTCTATAACTCAGTCAAGTTAGAAATGTAATAGTTTAGAAAGAAAAAACATAAAATACACATATGAAGTTTTCCTGTGTCATCCTTCTCACAGAAGGATGTTAATTTGCAGAAGGCTTTTATTTGATAGAGTTCTTTCTCATTATAATATTGAAAATAATAATATTTAATGCAAATATAACTTATCTCTATTTATAAAATTTTGTTATGTTTTGTTAAACTCAGTGTTCAAGCTATGGTTTGTCACCTTAACTCTGGGTCTTGGTATTGAATGGCCTGACCTTTTATTAAAGTTTCATGTTTATTGTGGTGCTTTTATTTCTCTGGCTAAGTCAAAGTAACAAGAACTGTGTGATACACATGTGCTCTCTAATTTCCTACCCTGTCTTACAGTACAGTGCCTGTGCACTGAAAAGAGTGATTGATTGCAATGCCGGAGAAAGAAATCCTAAATCTATCTGTATTTTCTCGTTGATAGAAGAGAGTAGAAAAAATGGTGAAGTATGTTGAAGGCAAGTTTTGTAGGGAGGGTAAATGTGTAGGGGAGAAAAGACAGTTGTTGGGGGCAGAGGGGTCTGTCAGTCAGCAGCCAGTGCTGATTCAAGGGACAGAGCCTCTGGGCCCCGAGCAGGCTGTGCACATAACTGCAACACCAAACACCTCGCCTGCACCATCAGCCAGGATTTCTTATGCATGTGACATAGCAAACCTTGTGAATCCTTGGATAGTATCTTCAAGAGCTTGGGTTGGCCAGATTAACAGTTTTCATTTATGATTTCTAGTTTGCCAGCCTTTTCTTTACAAATCTGACAACTCCACACCACAGAGAAATTGTAGAGCACCCAGTAATACTGAGTTTTGAGCATGTGTGTTCATAGCCTTCATTATAGCAGAGCTAATGCTTTGCTGCTGTTGATTTTTCAGTTTACTCTCTTTAAGGTGACTTTGGGAATGAGAGTCTAAAAATTAGGTAGCATTCATCTGCCTCTAAATCTAAATCTTTAATATTGTTCTCATTTTGACCTATCAAACCTGCGTGATCTTGCTTGATAATGAGGAGAGGCTATTCACTGTAAAGCTGTTATTTGCAGCCACTGCAAGAGATCATGGTCTCTGATATACCTCTGCCATGTGCAATAGAGAAACTCATCTGCTCACAGGACCTGGCATCCTGGGAATTTTCTGCTTTGAGACTTCCAAATCTGAAATCATTCTTGTATACCAACTTTCAGGATGGATTTAAATGAGGATTGAAGTGGAGTGAGTGGCAAAAACACACAGGTAAGCAACCTGGACAAGAACTTTAAAATTTGTCCTTGTGGAAGGGGCAAGTGAAGGAAATTCAGATAATTTGGATGAAGATGAGAAAATGAACAAAGAGGACAATAGCTCTGGATACAATGTCTTTTTATTAAATGAAAAAGTCTGGATAAAAGGAAGGGGAACTAGAAGCCTTAATTAATTCAATATCCCTAAGAAGACAAGGAAGAAGAGCAGCAGGATAAAAATAGTTTGGTTTTGCAAAGAAACCTTCGGTATGTTTTTAGACCTGCTAGATACGAACTCATTAGATATAAGTACAAAGGAAAAGGACATAAACAGAGCTGGTGGTCCATCCAATAAATGAGAGTACAAGCACTGAGTATCGACACGACAGCAGTGCAGTAAAAGACTATCTTGGCTAAATCATGAGTAAGCTTTTCACTGAGGTGAGAAGGAAGCCTCCAAAAGCATAGAGAAAATCAGGTTATTAAGGAGGGGCATAAAAAGAGCAACATCAGAAAAGTCATGGCAAAGAATGAGATGCACTTAGAAAAACCCATCAAGTCTAAATATATTGACTGTAAAACTAAGAAAATATCAGTTCACTAGTTAGTGGAGAAAGCTATCAGTAGATTACCACCAGTAGACTAGATTTCCCAGATAAATTAGAAAAATAATTTCTAAAAAGGGAGGCTCAGTTCAAGAAGATATACAGGGGATATGTGATAACCTTTGCTTTCTGCTAAGGACTGGTAAGTGTACCTAGGTCTTGTCCAGTCCTTTGCACTGTTCTTCAGGAAAGAAGGGGGCCAATGCTTGGAGTCTCTCCAGGTTGGAAAGAAGCCAGCAAATGCCGTGAACACAATAAGAAGGCCATAAAGGAAATATTGAAATTCTTGAAGTTGTTTCACTTAAAGAAAAGCAATAAGAGGAAAGGACATAATAAAATCATGTAAAGACATAAAAGAAGAATGAAATAATTTGGGGTTTCATGTTTCTGTTAGGTATGGGGTGAAATAATGGGCTGAAAATGAAGTAAGGAAGGTTCATTACACAGTTTGAAAAATTTTCTAACTGTGAAAACAGTAATATCGGAACTGGTTTGTGCAGAAGCTTGTAGAGTCTGAATGATTGGCAGGCTTGAGGACTAGCCTACACTGACATTTGTAAGGATAATATAACCAAATTTACCTTCTAACTTGTCAGTGTATGTAGTCATGTAGACAAGTTCATGGACATCAGGTCCATAAATGGATGCTGTAAGGACTTGGGAAAAGTTGTACGTGCTGATGTCCCCAGTGCAACTGTTCCACTGCTGAGGGGACAGGAAGAGAATGGACCACAGGCAATGGCCGTGCTCATGTGCTTTCCCTGAACAGCCTTTCTTTTTGCTGCTGCCAGGGACAGAGCACTGGTCTTAGGCAGTATGGCATTTCTTATGTAGTTTCCACTGATATATAAGATATGCTTATGATCTGCTTTTTGCAACAGCGTTGCCTCAGTAGTAGCTCCTGATTATAAATAAATATGTGCTGTACAGGAAGAGATATTCTCCCAGGGACCAGCCATCTGGGTGCAGTAGCAACAGCAATATATTTAATAGAACATTTAACATATTGTACAATATTTAATGTGAATAATTAAATGTAGTGTTTCATATATTAAATATACATAATATGTAATTTTTTATTGCAATGTATATGATGTGGCAAATATATTCCAGTAACAACAGCTCTAACATGTAGAGCCTGGCCATGTTCACAAGGTAGCATTTACATGTTAGATCCTGCTCAGTTATCTAGTCCCTTTTCTATTCCCTTGAATAGGAGCATGCAGAAAGAAATATTTTAGTTACGAAGCAGGACCACTTTCACTTAGACTCTTGCATCTCTGATTAAAAGAAAGCATCATTTATTTTCAGGCAAGTAGGTCATATCTACTTTGGTCATACTGCGGTAGTAGCACATTGTTATGATTAGTCTGAAAATGGAAACTAAAAGCTCAAATTAGAAAGCTGAGGTTTTCAGTTATTTCAGCAATGATTGCCATGGAAGATAACACTTCAGGAAGTATCTATAAAGCTCGGATTGTGCCTTGATAGCAATTTCTTTCTGGTATAATCCTATGTAACACGTATTTCCAGAAGGATGTGCAGATCTCTGCAGAACAGATATTTTTGGATGTCCTTACCTAATTAGTTTATGATATAGTTTTATCTTTTTCAAAACTCTATTTTGGAAAAAAAAAAAAAAAAAAAAAAAAAAAAAAACCAAAAAAAAAAAAACAACCAAAAACCAACAACAAAACAAACAACAACAACAAAACCCCAAACCCAACAAAAAAAACCTGCAAACTTTTCTAGAAGGTCCAAAAATCCAATTTCTGTTAAAGTTTTAAGATAGATTTCAGTGACACTCTTTCATTCAGCATCATTATTAACCAGGGAGAGGGGCAGGAATTGTTGCATCTCTTTCATTCTTATTTTTTTCCAGTGCAAGGAAGTAATGTTTTCCTTGATTTTGAATCATCTGTTGCTTTTACAACAAAATATACATCACTACTGTAATTTTTGGAAGAATTGCCTGATCAGCATTGAACAGATTTTGTACATCTAACAGCATTCACTTGGTACAGGGCTACTAATCCTCATGGATTCAGATGAACATTAGTTGTGTAGGTAGCTGGAAAGGAAAATGTCTTCTCAATGTTAAATATTGCTCTAAAGAAACTGTTGTCCTGCATTGGTCAGCATAACCTAGAATAACACTCAGTGGCAGAACCTCCCAGAGGGAGGGAACAGGAGTGATACTGAGTCCACAGGAAGTTTTGAATTATCCTTCAGCCTCATCCTGAGCAGAAGCCTTTCTGAGGTCTGGATATACTTCTAGAGTAGTTTTTGTGCAGCCCTTGTGTCGTGGTTTAGGCGCAGCCGACATCAAAGCACCACTCAGACACCTTGCTCTGTAGGTGAAATGTATAAGCAGTTGCAGTGTTATATGCTTGCACTATCACAACAAGAAGCTTCCCTCCATACGCCTTCCTGCACTACTACCAACTAAGCCATAAGGAGCTCTTCCACTACTAACAAAGGATTTGCTTAGTTACAATTTGCTTTTTTTAAAAAAAGTTTCACTGACATTGATATTACTTATCTTACTTTTTCTAATATATTATATTTTTAAGAGTTCACATTAAATGCACTAGTACATCAGTCAGGTGAGCTTGAGTAGTGTTTCTCCTTTTTTTCCCAAGCACCTATGCCAACATGTGCCACAGTCTTGCTCCTTCATCTTCTGGTGCTAATCAATCACTTTTGATGGTGACCACTCACTTACTAGTATAATTCCAATATAATCAGGTCTGGTTAAGTTTATGTTTCCAGAGCAAAATTCCCTGCCATTGAGAGGGCCTGACTCCAGCACCCTTGCTTTCTCCAGAAGGTTACCTATGGAATATGCCACTGAGCTTCAGGAACTGCACAGGGAAAACTTGTACTGCAC